TGGCCTGTGGGGCTCAATCTGGTCCCTCCATGTCTGGCACTGAATTCACCCGTGTTGGGAAAACCAAGCATTTAGATCGAGGGCAGCATTTACACAAGGATAGGTCGAGAGGGTTAGAGCAGAAGTGGGGATAGCAACAGGAACAGAGGGAAGAAGTGGGAAAAGTGAGAGTACACTGAAGGAATTAGTTGGAAAAAAAAAGATGAGTTGAAAGAAAATGTGTATGAACAACATTGAACGTAAGCGTGCTTACCTTCACCTGATTCACAAAGAAAAAAGACACATGGGAAGATGCAGAAAGAGCGCTCACGCTGATGGTGAGGCCTGGTGGTGGGTCCCTGCAGGAATACTAACTTTTATCGCACATTCTCTTCCTCCTCCCGCCGTCTTTCAGCCACACTAACTCTGTAAGGCAGAAATCCGGGGAGCCAGTCCCGTTTTACAGATGTGGATAGTGGAGGTCAGAATAGTGCAGCAATTTCTCCAAGGACACACAGCCAGTTATTGACTAGAGCCATTTGGAGGACGAAAATCAAGGGTTTCTGTGAAAATAGCCTAGGGGCAATGCCATCTGACCGCCTCTAACAGCATGAGGGCAGACAGACACCCCCCACCCTCCGACCTTTCCAATGACTCCACTCTGGCATCAGCGGCCTCTCCCAGGACCCCTCTGCTGCGATGCTCACACAGTACTCACAGGCCGAATCTACAACTCTGGGATTAATCAAGGAAGTACTGCAGCAGGTTACACTTCAGGAACAGAGGACTCGGGCTACAGTTCTTCCGGCAGGGCAGCCCCTGCTCAGATTCTTGGAGACGGCCTCTTAGCCCCTCCAGCCTGAGGCCTTCCAGGCCAGCCTTGCCTGCTCTTGATCTCCACCAGCAAGTGCGGGAGGCACCTCACTTGTCAGTAAGCCCTGGCCCCAGAGTGCTCAGTCCTAGCTCTGGGGGCCTGAGCGTTCACTGTGCCATCTTGTGCTGGCATCCTGAGCCAGCTGACTCTGCTGCCACTGCCTTTCTGCCATGTCCTGCTGTCTTGAGCCCTCTCCAGAACTATGGCGCGCATCTTTCTTCTGCCACCTGAGTCTAGGAGGCTGCCCACAAAGGGAACCCAGGGCCACGGGACGGGCTCTGTTCCTAGCTCTTCCTGGTGATGGCGAGGGCCCCTCTACCTCTGGCACGGCTTACTTTAAGCTCAGTGGGATAACTAAGGGAATAACGAAGCGATAACTAAGTGGGATAACTAGAGTGCCATATACCTTATTTGCACGGTCTCCCTCCCACGAGGGTGTCATGCTAAGCATGCTTGGCAAGCTATCCAACCCCCCCTAGGTGGGCCAACAGCATCAGGTTATTTGGTGGGAGAATTTGGGGGG